CCAATGGTTATTGTGTTGCTTAAATTCTGTATTAGAACTTCAAAACATGAAAACAAATTTTGACAGTTACTATAATACAAGGTGCTCACTATTGTTCTGTTTTAGCAGTTACTATACATGTTAAATATGTTTCAAGATTTTTGTCAAAGAACAATTTGCAATTGCAAAACAAGAATTTTTATTAGTTTAACAGCACCAAGATTTTATCCAACTTGATGAGACATCTATCTAGGATTAGTGGTATAGAATTTTGACAGTTTTACATTGGTTTTTAACAAAAAAAAAAAAATTCTGGATTTGGACTGGACTTGTCAAATAAAAGGTTAAGGTGTAAAAAGTAAAAAGCGTGAACGGCAGGATTCCAAAATCCGCATGTACAGCCCACATGATTTCTAGTCATGCCCGATAACCACTCCGGCACGTCCACTTGCTTGTTTCGGTGACAAAACTATTTATAGTGCATATAAGTTCTGTAATCTGTACCTTTTCTTCGTTCCGAGACACAGATACATATACACAAATAGATAAACACAAACATAAAGATACACAATTTTTTTGCTATGTTTGGTGATGATACACATGACGTAATAATCTGAACCAAATTTCAATTTTACCCTTTAAATAATACACGACAACCTTCTCTGCCATTGTTTTCCTCCATCACCGCCATTGATTTTTTCAACTTCAACTAAAAAATTTAGCAATGAACTTTTCAAATTTAATAATCAATTCACAGGCAAACAGTTAAGCAAAATAAATAATCAATTAAATAATTAATTTTTTAAGAGAAGGAAGAAAAATAAAGGGATTCAAAGGGGAAAAGAGAAGCACGACAAAAACAGGGGCAGAGGAAGGAAGGCAACACATTGGAGGTGAGGACCGAGGACCAAAGATGAACACAAAGAAATGAAGAGGTGTAGCAAATGACGTGGATGATGATGGTGACATCGGAAGGCGACGCAAAAGTGGAAGACCGTATATGGCAGTGGAAACATAGAGGGCGAAGCCTAGTGGCATTGCAGAGGGCGAAGGGCGATGCGAAGATGAGGAGAGAGAGAGAGAGGAGAGATCGAGAGAGAGAAAGAGAGAAAGAGAGTAACTTGCCCAAAAGAGAAGAAGGTTTGCACAGAGGGGAAGAAGGTGTGTCGGGAAAAAGGAGAAGAAGAGAAGAGGAGGAGGAAAACCCTAAATTGGTTTAGGACACATTTGGAATTTTAACAAAATATTAAGGACAAATTTATCCAAAAACAAAAATTTAATCTACGTCTCAAGTGAGAATTTTGTGTCTCACCATTTCAAAGAGACACAAAATACATGTTTTGCATGTACCTTTGTGCCATCGTGTCCTTCTCTTTTTTGTGTCTCCCAAAACAAACATTAGACATGTGTCACCGTGTCCATGTCTTTGATGGACATGGACACTAACCAAACGATGCAATTCTCCATTGGAGAAAAATACTTTAAACGAAATAGTTGATAAAAAAAAAGTTTATTAATTTATTAAATTTTTTATTTTTATTATACTTGAGTTTTATTATTTTAATTTAAAAACTATTAAATCTTCAGTTTCTCACTCTATCGACCTTATTTTTTTTTTCTATTTTAGAAGGACTTGTCACTTTGTTAACAATAATGATTTATATTATTTTCCTTCTATCTATGAATGAATGAGTTTTAATTTTTTTTTTTCTAAAACAAAATAAAAAAGTTCTCATCGAAATAAAATAATAAAATTTTGAATCCAAGTGGTTATTATGTACTGTTTTAAATTATTTTTATTTAAAAATATAATTAATACAGAGATAATTATAACATTCCAAAATTTATATGTCCAAATTATAATTTATTTTATTCTCTTTTATTGGCTAAAATAAGATAATATTATATGCTGGAACTAGTTTATACAGTGCGATATTTTTATTAATATCGTTTTGAAATGATACACGCAATAAGTTTCAGTTTCAATAAATATAATTAAAAAAAAAAGAGAAAGAAAGAGTGCAACGAGGGGCACGAGGAGAAGAAAAAAAAATAATAATATAATAATATATAAATAGTAACTATAATAATATAATATTCCAAATAGTAACCTGCATAGTAAATCTTCAAAACTATAAATAGGACTATGATTTCATTAGTTTTTCACATTCAGAAATCAATAAGAAATCATCTCTCTTGCTCTCTATAGCTTTTTTCTAGCTCCTTCTCTTATTCTCTTTATTATAGCCTTAGTTTTAGAATGAACTACCAACCCGGCCCCTGTCCATTTCCCCGACTGACATTGCGGACCCTATCAATTAAAAAGTACCACGCCGGACCCCTTCCGTGATCTCCGTGTGACATGGCGGACCCTCCGTAACTTGCCTCGTTAAATGTTGACGGAATGTGATGATGTGGGACGTTTATTTGCTTGCGTGGATGTTAAGTGCGTACGTGGAAATGACATAGTTGGACAGGGTTGGATCTGTCATACCCGAAAACAACAAAACGACGTCGTTTTGCTTAGTTGCCAAAACGCAACGTTTGAGATGAGTGTTTTTCTTTCCCCTAAAACCCTGCCTCTCTATCTGAAATTGACGAACAAAACCCTAGCACACAACCATAATTTCACACAATACCACCACCGACACGAAGCTTCTGGAAGACTTGGGTGACGTCGCTGCTGAGTGGAGTGCTGACGGAGCTTGGACGGCGCCAGTGACGGAGCTTGGACGGCGCCATTGACGGAGCTTGGACGGCACCGTGTTGAAGGCGTCAGAAGTGGTCCAGGTTGGTGTGTTTCCCTATTTTATAATTTTCGCTTTGTGCTTTGTGGTTTGTGCGTCGAGTGGTCCCAGTGTTTGTGTT